TTTTCTTAAGCCCTTCTTCAAATCTGTACACTGCTCAGCCCCTCTATCTCGGTGGTGGTGAAAAAAAGTCACCAGGATTGAGGGTTTATCTGTTGGGCTTCTCCATCAATTTTTGTTTAAATCTTTTTTGAACCCTAAATCCTCCCTGCACTATTCTTAGCAGAGCCTGAACTGACTTTAGACCATGCTGCCGATCCTGTGAGTAGCCCACGACTGTATTCCATGTGTGCCTAATTTGTTTCATATTGGTGTCTGACCCCTGCCGCAATCCTGTATTAAACCCTGTGAACAGCCCTTTTTTTTTTTTTTTTTTTTTTTTTTTGAAAGGCCCTTGTGCAAGACCTCTATCATGGTGGTGGTAAGAGAACCACCGGGATTGAGGCTTTGCCTAGCGGGCCGGCCCATCTATTGGTGGGGAGCAACACCTGCTGGAAACCGGGTCCAGCGTCCCATAAATACATCTTTGCCACACAGTACATCATAGAGAGTGACGCCAAAGTGCTGGAAACCGGGTCCAGCGTCCCATATCCGCTCTACTTTTCCTCACCTAACCTGCAGCAGGGTCGGGTATTGGGGACGGGGGTCACCGGGGGGCACCAGTGGAATCTCCCTCCCTCCCCTAGCCTCTGCCATCCACCCACTATCCTCATGGCGCCCATTGAAGCAACAGAAACAGGCTGCAGTGAAGTCAGCTGAAATCAGCCGAGGTCTTTTTGAGAAATACAGAAGGATTCTGAAGACTACTGATGCTCTAATGGAATATTTTATATATATATATATATATTTTGTGCCTGGTACATCTTTGCAAACCAATATGTCAATGCAAGTGACGCCGCCGGGGGGCACCAGTCTCCCTCCCTCCCCTAGCCTCCGCCACCCACCTACTATCCTCTACTCTCCTCTTGGCGCCTGTTGTGTCATGCACATCAGTAGTAGCAACCCTCCCCTAGCCTCAGCCACCCACCTACTATCCTCTACTCTTCTTTTGGCGCCTGTTGTGTCATGCACATCCGTAGTAGCAAATGTTTGGAATCGACTGAAACAACTGGAACATCTGAAACAACATCTGAACCAAACTGAAACAAACTGAAACAAACTTGGCACCCGCTGGAACAACTGCAAAAGCTGGAAGGACTGGAAGACCAAAGGGCAACAGAACACAGGCTGAAACACCAGGCTGAACCATGCCGCCCTGAGCTGCGCTGAAATCCGCAGCTAAGCTGCCCTGAGCTGCGCTGAAATCCGCTGCAGTCAACGCTTCTCAGTCCGAGCTCATGCAGGCAGCAAGATTTCTGCTAAGGACAGCGGATGGGGTGGGAATGGATCTGCAAAGTCCTGGGCTGGACGTAACGGGGAGTCGGGGTCTATCTTGGCCCAGTCGTGAAAAATCAACTGATAGTCTCTTATTATTTCTGCCCGGGGTTCCCCTCAAGCTTCTCTCTCTATCTGACGACCGGACCATTTTACTGCTGCCACCCATCCCTCCCTTTCCCCCCCCAGCCAGTCCTTACAGAATGTAGCAATGATCTGGTTCATGTCTCCCCAAGAGGACATTTGGTTGAGCTTGTCTTTCGTTGTCTTCCATTGTGTCGCCAGCTCATAATGAATCAATGTCCGAATTTGATCCATCGCCTCTCCGTCCTCCACCCATGCTCCCTCTAACTCCAAACAACATCGTCTCCACCATATAGTCCATAGCACACTCCGTCTACCCAGGTTGAACATATTCTCCTCAAATGTCTTCCCCCGGAATGGAGGGAAATGCCCCAAAAGTATGGCCCTCCACTCCCATGGCCATACTGCGCCGGGGACTATGTGTCGCCAGATTCTCTCCCAAGTTCTCCACAGTAGTACTGACGCGGGACATTAAAGGAAGATGTGTTCAATGGTTTCGGCCCGTCTCCCCCCCGGGTAGTTGTGGAGACATCGATGACACCATGGCAGCGCCTTCCCTTGTTGCTCCAGGTGGGTGTGGTCTATCAGCCAATCCTTAGTTGGTAGACACCTGTGTTCTATTTGCCACTGGGGGGCGGAGATCTTGGCGGGTCTTTTGTTGTGCTGTGCAAACCAGCGTATGGGCTTCAGTAGGTGGAAACCCTGTGAACAGCCCACATCACCTCAGTCCACTATCTCCACCCCATCTTTAGATGGTGCGGGATTTACCCGTCTTCACATTCACACCAGATGGGCCCCTGAATGAGTGGGGATCCCAGTTGAATAATCAAAGCACTGTTCTACGGACAGAGCCGGCAGCAGGAAGTCTTGGAGGTCACTAATGGGTGATAGCTGCGTCTCTTCGAATATTTGTACTCTCCCATGCCCGTGCGAGCTGGCAATCCTATCCTCATACTGGTTGTTCACTGCAGTGGCCACCAGGTGTTCAGTTGTCCCCATCATCGGTATCGGCAGTAAGAAGGCGGGAAGGCGGAAAAGCAGAGGATGGAGGGGTGGAGGCAGGTCGGAGGGAGATGGTAGTGTGGGTAGCAGGCGGGAAGTGGGGGGTGTTACTGCAGGGTGGGGCAGGGTCCATTGCGGGATGGGGATTCTGGGGGATCAAGAGGAAATTTGTTGGGAGGTAGGAGACCGCAAAGACGTGCAATGGTCATCTTTGCCATGAGGGTTCGTCCGCCCTTCGGTTTTTCCATCTTATATCGAGGTCATCAAGCAGTTCGGAGAAGATATGTCGGGGATCCTGCCAGACCTGGGAGTAGGCCTCCCGCAAGGCCTCCCTGAGGGTAGGGTCTCTTTCATCTTGGTAGTCCTGCTTCATAGTCTTCCATGCATGACGAGTACGGGACCTGATCTCTTCTTCTATCACATGTTGTGCCTGCTGCAGACCAAACTAATGGCCTTTCCTCTCAAATGAGCACCTAGCTCTCCAGGTTTGCATGAGGACGTATAGTCTCGTGTACGAGAAGCGGTTAGTGGCGAATGGGGTCCGCTGCGCTAGCAGGTGCTGGTTTTTACCAAGCAAGATGAGGCCCAGGTCCCACGGGATGTTGAAGCCCGTGAGCGAATGGAATGCTGCTTCCCACCACCTTCATATTTGGGCAACCATCGGGCACGCCAGCAGGCAGTGCTCGAGTGTTGCCCTGGCCGGCTGTGTCGCCCTCCACAGTAAGTGCATATAGGGGACAGCAGGCCTCTCTGCTCAAGGTCCGTTCTTGACACAAGCCAGTCGGGGGTGGGAAGACAGCGGTGTATAATCTGCCACTGCAGGGATCTGAGGCTTGTGGGCATTATTTTGGAGTTCTGACCTGGCTACTGGGAAAAAGAAAGGCAAACGAAAGGCCACGACACAAAATGACGAAAGAACAAGGGCAGCCCCAGATATGCACCATGTGGATCCGAGCTTCAGACCCGGGCCTTGTATTCGAGTGTGCGGCCTGAAAAATGACAAAAAAACTGATCTGCCCGGCGGTTCCCGTGAGACACCGCCCGCCCGGTACCTCTCGTGCACCAGCGATTTTTGCTGGGCCCGGAGGGCAGCGTCAGCTGAGAACAGGGTTAGTCTTTAGTAGTATAGATAGATAGATAGATAGATAGATAGAATACAGAGATAGAGATAAAAAATAAGGATCCAACCTTATTGAGGGGAAAAAAACTTCAGCCAATCCCCGGGGTTTCTCCCGGGTAATCAATGCTGGTGGAATTGAGAGTCACTCAAATGCTGAGGGAGGAACTAGTTGTTTAGAAGCAGATATCTGGCGCCTGGTATTGGGGCGAAGAGGTCTCCTCCCCTCCCCTCCCGTAATCACCTGCACAGTCAATCCTCTGGAAGCCAGAGTAATCAATGCTGGCAGGTTTTACACAACTTTCAGTATTCATCCTGAACTCTTTCTGTCTTCATTCTGTAAAGGGGCGCTGGACCCGTTTTCCAGCAGGTGATGCTCCCCACCAATAGATGGGGCCTCTCCCCGGGTGCTAGTGGTGTCTGATCTCGTCAGCACCACTAGCACTGCAAGGGGGGGTGTTGCAAAAAAAAAAAAAAAAAAAAAAAAGGGAAAAAAAACTTCCATTTCAGGGCATACTCACACTAGGCCCTCAAAATCTCAAACTCGCAAAATGAGCGGCCAGATAGAGCCCTCTGCTTACAAGCACTTGATCTGGGCCTTCATTTTGCGATTTTGTGATTTTGAGCGCCTAGTGTGAGTATGCCCTCATTGGGTACTGGGTTTGTCATACTAACTACCACATACTACCACATCAGAAGGTTCAAGAGAATTAAAACTGGAAGCCAATATGACTGTTTTCTTTTTCCATATTCTAGCGGAGGATTCAATCTCATTTTGCACATTTGGAGAGAAGGCCCTACGCCACGTGACGATTCAATCTCATTTTGCACATTAGGCCCTATGCCACATGGGATTCGAGCTTCGTACGTGCCTGCCAGCATGACAAAACAAAGAAAAGTGAGGCGGCAACAACCAAAACGCACGGACAGAACGACAAAAAACAAAATTGGCTGTATGGGTGCGCTGCAGTGCAATTCGAACTTCTGACCTGGCTACTGGGAGTTACATCTCATCTCTTTGCAGCGCAGAATGACAAAAGAAAACAAAAAGCAACATGAGGCAAACAAAAGGCCACGGCACAAAATGACGAAAGAACAAAGGCAGCCCCAGATACGCAACGTGTGGATTCGAGCTTCAGACCCGGGCCTTGTATTCGAGCGTGCGGCCTGAAAAACGACAAAAAAAAACTGATCTGCCCTGCAGTTCCCCGTGAGACACCGCCCGCCCAGTACCTCTCGCGCACCAGCGATTTTTGGTGAGCCCAGAGGGCAGCGTCAGCTGAGGACCGGGTTAGTCTTTAGTAGTATATAGATAGATAGATAGATAGATAGATAGATAGATAGACTATGGAGATAGAGATAAAAAATAAGGATCCAGCCTTATTGAGGGGGAAAAGAACTTCCATTTCAGGGCATACTCACACTAGGCCCTCAAAATCTCAAAATCGCAAAATGAGCAGCCAGATAGAGCGCTCTGCTTACAAGCACTTGATCTGGGCGTTCATTTTGCGATTTTGAGGGCCTAGTGTGAGTATAGCCCTCATTTCCTAAGGTTCAAGAGAATTAAAACTGGAAGTGAATATGACGGTTTTCCTTTTCCGGCTGAATATTTGGCCAAGATTGGGGCAGATACATCCAAGAAAGTCCTAGTGGAAGTACCACCTAAGGGGGCCTCTTACATATGAGACACTACCTCTGGGCCCATCAATACCAGCTTATCTGTTGCCCGCTGACGGCAATCATCGTCGGATTCATCTGAACATGATCATAGTGACATGGGGAAAAACAACACGCACATGGATGAGCAGGGAACCTCACTGAACCATTTTGTGACTCATTAGGGTGGTGAAGAGTCTTCCCTTCGAAAGGAAATATTTCTGGTCTTGGAACTTCAGAGGTTCATTCCCCCACGATGTCCATCCTGGTAATAGATTCCTGGCAAACAGCTCTAATGGTTTCACAACTCCTTGCCCAGGTACAAACCCCTCTAAAAGGCGTCTAAGCACTGGCTTTCGTGAATGCGCGCCAGGTCTACTAATGATCACAAAATGGTCTGGAACACGACAGGGTTGTTCCTCCCCTTGAAAACCCCTCCTCTTCCCAGTTATTGTTGGAGTCCTCTCAAGACCTGAAAGTTCACCGCGAACATCCCAGAAGGTGTGCTCCTGCGTCACAGATATATCGCTGCTCCTTTCGCAGAAACCATTCCTGTGAGAATTAGTACGAGCACCACCCTCGTCGCTCTGCACGTGAGGGGGACCACAACAATTCCTGCTCATACATGCATCGTTGCCATCGTCCTTCTTTCGATTCATGGACGGCGGACTGTCACAATCACACACCTGTATCCGCGCGTTTTGGAGGTCTTCTGATTTGCGATAGGTCATCATCGACCACATGGAGTCTCCTTCGTCGCCTTTGACAAGTTGCTGCCGAAATGTTGTTGTTTCAGAGCTGCTGCCCAGAAGCCGCGCATGCTCGCTATCCAGCCCATCTTTCGCAGCAGCTGCTGGTGCTATCTCCTGCCAGCACTTGCGCCTTTTTCTTGCAGATTGACGAGTTGGGGGGAGGAAGCCCAAGAGGAGCGGCTCGTAGGGTCTGTGGTGTGCTAAATCTAGTGGGCTCACCATCTCTCCCTTGTCGGACACCTTCAGCCAGTACCATGTGGCCACCAAATCCACCCCCCACTTGGGAAACAATTCATTTTCAGCAAACCGCCGAAGCTTCTCGCGACAAGTCACCCATAACGCAACCAATGCACCATCTTCATGAGCCAGAGATGCAACCGGCAAGGAGAGCAAATAGCGGTTCGGCAAAGTGGGGTAGACGTCCTTACGGTGCACGCTCTTGTTTTCCCACGGCGGATCAAGGACAATCAGGTTGTACCCACCTGCTCGAGAGACTGGTACCATTCGGTGAAGCTCGCTTAAATCCGAACAAAGGAACGTTGAAAATGGTGGTATTATGAACGACCGACCCATAATAGATCCAACCATCTCCTCTGCATAAGGATTGGAGATGACATTGTTGACTAATGGAAGCCAGATTGATCGCTGATCTTCAGACGCATTCGACGTGGCATTTGAAGTGGAATTTGAAGTGGCATTTGGAGTATCGTAGGAGGTGTGACGTGCTTCATCTAAAGATAAAGATGAAGAAACTGACAGTTCTGAATTTGCCCAGAAATTATCTTCGGGACACTGAAGGCGGATCCATGAATTGACAGATGGAGTGCAGACTTCACGGCAGTTTCCGTAGCCATGGCTAGCAGCCTCTGACGCTTCCCTCTGAAGCGCAACAAAGTCCACCTCCTCGCTGTCAAGTGCTCTAGCACAAGTCTCCTCCAGCCGCTCAGTTCTCATGGAAGAGTTTAAGCACACCTCCCTTGCACCAAATTCCTCACAGTTATTGTCGGGCCCATGTGTGTCAGATGTGGCCCCATGGTCTGCAACGGCTTCATCCCTGGTATCACCAAATGAAGATCTTCTAACAGTGCTCATGCATCCTTGCTCTCCAGTGACGGTGCCTCTGCATCCCCTTGCCTTGAATTCCTCAAAGGCCGAAACTAAAAATGCACGGCATTCATTGTGACGCTCAATAGCTTCCAGCTCCCTCACATTTGGCATGTATGTTTTTCTCGTCTTCACTCTTTTTCTCTTTGCCTTTGTCAGCACATCAGGACAGACATGTTCCTGCACTTCCTGTTGCTTCTTCTGGTCATCCGGCAGTTGCTCCTGCAGCTTATAGTTCTCCTCACCATGATCCTCCTCCTCCTGCTGCCACTGTTGCTGGTCCTCCAGGTTCTGGCCCTGCTGCTGATAATCATCCAGCAGCTGCTGCTGATAATCATCCAGCAGCTGCTGCTGACCCTGCCTCTTATTCTGATCCTGCTGTTTGTAGCAATCCTGCTGCTGGTGCCGATCCTGCAGCTGATGCTGATCCGGCTGCCTATCCTCCTGTTGCTGATGATATTTATGCTGCCGCCTGTCCTGCTGCTGCTGCTGCTGCTGCTGATAAGGCTTCTGCTTGTCCTGCTGCTGCTGCTGCTGACCTTTAGGCTGTGCTTGAAACTGTTCCTGGTTCTTCAGTTGATGCCACTGTTGCTCTCGATCATGTTCCTGGTCCTGCTGTTGGTCTTGCTGCTGCCTATCCTCCTGCTGCCGCTGAACCTGTGCCTGATCCTGGTGTCGATCCTCCTCCTCCTCCTCCTCCTCCTGCTGTTGCTGCCGCCTGTGATCCTCGTGCTCCTGATCATGCAGCTGCTGCTGCTTCTGTTGTTCATGTTCCTGATCCGGCTGTTGATTCGGCTGCTGCTGCCAATCCTGCTTCTGGCAACCCTCCTGCTGATGATTCGTCTTCTTTAAGTTCTTTTGGCCATACTTCTCACTGCCCTGCAGCTGCTGATGTTGCTCTTGTTCCCAATCCTCCGGCTGATGTTCAGCTTTAGATTGCAATTGCCAATCGCTGTGATCAATCGCTGCACAAACCGCTTGGCTATCATCTGCTTTTATCAGGTCGACCTTTTTTCTTGCAGCACTTGTTAACTGGTGCCACTGCTCCATGTACAGTGGCTGCTTGGATGAGTGACTTCTAGCTTCTACCCGCTCCATGCCGAGTGTTAGAGCGCATGGCCGCCGCCCCGCCCAGTGTTTCTTCCAGTAAACGCAGTGGTCGAGCTTGAGGTCCAGATAACCATGGGAGGCCTCCTCGACCGGATCAAGAAACTCACCTATGTGGACGCCTTCTCTCCAGATGCTCATAGTGGTTGAATACACGCACGCAGAACTATTCAGAAGTATGTCCAAATTCAGATAGCTCAGCATTGACCAAATTCAGAGGGCTTTGGCGACGCTGACCAGCAGATTTGCATATTTTTGTCTCACTTCATAAAGATGTTTTAGCCCACATGGCCAACTGCTACACAGAGAGCTAACTGTTAATTAAGAGAGTTTGGATCCTGCATAATCAGACTAGTACAAAAGGTTTGGGGCTACATAATGTGTGAAAAAGGTCTCAAAGTCCTGGGAGTAAAACGCAGTGAAAGTCGCCTCTGCCTCTGCCTCTGCCCCAACTCTCCACCAGTGTGTGCAACGCCTCCCCATGATTTTGTAATTCCTAGACAGGTCATAAAAGGAATGCTTAGTGAAAGGAATATAAGAAGCATTCATTTCCTTGCTGCCACAGGATCTAAAATATACGATCAGACAGATGAGAGCAGTACGCATAATATGACAGCCATTGAACGGCCACGATCCTTTAATACAATGTATACTATATGTACATTGTGCACAATGCAAGAAAAGATAGACAGGACAGACGCACACACATACTACTTGTGTGTCCTTTGTAACCCGTCAAAATTGGAATGATACAGAGAAGATTAGCATGGCCCCTGCACAATCAAGGACAACAGACACACATCGAGAAACGCTCCAGTTAAAACCACCAGTGCAAACGAGCCTATTTTGACAAACCGAAACAACCGCCTGCCTGGGCGTGCCCAGCCTGAGACATCACTCCTACCGGGTCACACAAACTTTGCTCTCGCAACCATTAGGCGATCTTATTCAGATAATTAATTTGTCCATCTAAACAAAGAATAGCAATAATGTCTTGCAAAAATTCTTTATAACGCTGCAAAGTTTCTTTTACTCCTTGAGCAGTTTCATGATGTTCTTCTCCTACGATCCATGGCTGAAGCATGGTAGATGTTGAATCAAGTGGATCGATCTACTGCTGGATATATCCCCTTTGCAGCAAGATTCCGAGAAAGAACAGTAATAGCATCTAAATGAGCAAAAAGGTAGCAGCAGGAGCTGGATCAGTTAAATCATCTGCAGGTAAAATATCTTTCGTATGCAAGATCATTTTTTCGTTTATTTTTATTCTTCCCCCGATGCTGTGGAACCGAACCTGACCTGACCTGGCCTGACGTCACCTCACCACACCTCACCTCACCTCACCTCACCTCACCTCACCTCACCTCACCTCACCTCACCTGACCTCACCTCACCTGACCTAACCTAACCTAACCTAACCTAACCTAACCCCCTGATGCTATGATCCTGCTCATTTCATGATGCAGAACTCAAACAACGTGAGGCATTACATCACCCTCATCTCCCTCCATATCTCACCACCATCACCTCTTCACCCATCATCACATTGAACTCTTTGATCAAAATAAATAACAATCATAATGAATGTGCGATGAGCTCAGTTCAAAATCCGCTGAGACAGAAGCCCGGGTCCGAACTTTTGGTCCACGTCTAAATCCAGGGGCCAAAAGTCGTGCCTCCAGTCTTAGAGAGGTGCCGGAAGAGTCCTAGGGTCAACAGGTACCGGGTCCAGAGTCAAATGACGCTGCCCGTACCCCACTTGAGGTAGTTGACTCCAGGAAAATTAGAAGTCGGGCCCAAACTGGGGAAGAGTACGTCAAGAGTCAGAGATTTCTCAGGAGTCAGCCACGGTAATAGATCTGATGCACAACGAGAAAATACCCTCTCTGACTTAATGAGGTCATACCCTTCGAACGATCGAAGAGACCGTTATGAAAAACTGAGAGGCATAAAAAACAGTAGCAAAGCGGCAGTGGGACCCACCTTACAATATCCATACGGTACTTAGGAAGTTCTTTTTCCTGAATTGATTTTTCGTTTTGTTTTGTTTTGTTTTCTGTTTGGGCCGTTTTCCAGCCGAATTCTGGAGGACGCAGCCGTCACTTACTGAGTGCGAAAATCGGCCATTCATACTGGGTTCTGTGACGATGAACCTAGAAAGATTTTTTGGGCTGATTTCTCAGCCGAGTTCTGTGGGAACGGCTGCCAGTTACCGAGGGTGAAAACCGGTTCACACTTGGGGTTTATTGGGGCAATGTACCTGGACAATTTTTTGGACCAAAAAAGAGGAAATTCGAGCGGTAACATTTTTGGTGGTCGAGTTCTGTGGGAACAGCTGCCAGTTACCGAGGGTGAAAACCGGTTCACACTTGGGGTTTATTGGGGCAATGTACCTGGACAATTTGTTGGACCGAAAAAGAGGAAATTCGAGCGGTAACATTTTTGGTGGTAACTGAGGCGGTGCCATCACTACGACGGTTAGTCCTTCAAGATCTTGGAGGGTCTTAGCAGTAGCATTTTTTCTTTTTTTCTTTTTATTTTTTTTTGGCAGTAGCATATACAGTAGATAAAGGCAACTTTTTGGAGTGTTGTGCTCCTCGTAGCTTGAGCAGTGGTTGGCAGAAGAGCTGAGCAGGGTGTTGTTGGGCGCGGTGATATAAAGTAAGTGTCTTACACTTGACATATGAAGTGCACTTCATTAATGATGTTTATTTGTACTGATGCCTGCACTACTCCAGAAGTGTCCAGGGCCTACCAGGTCCAGGCGCACATTGGCTGACGGCAAATCTGGGCAACCCAGATCGAGAAATCTCCACCGTAGGGCTGACAGCCCAAAAGTCCAGATCGAGTGTCGGGGCATCGGAAGCTTGGCCACATAGATTTTCATAAAACAATGGGGGGAAAATCATTGCTTCGCACCTTTCTTTTCTCATCAATCAAATCAACGGCATCAAAGGTTAAGTAGGGAATGCTCTACCACCTGAGCTACGTGGGCTCACAGGGAAAGGAAGCTGTTTGCAGGCGGTCGGACTTGAACCAATTATTTCATACTTGCAAAACATGCGTTCTACCCCCACTTGAGATATGCCCCAAGTCCTTCACGACATCCGTTAAAATTGGAACGATACAGAGAAGGGTAATTAGCAAATGGCCCCTGCGCAAGGATGAACTATGCCCCAAGGGAACAGAGGAAATTTGAAACCATGCCTTCAGCCACTCAGCCATACCTCCCGGGAAAGGGAAAAACGGGATCTCAACCCGTCCCTTCGGGGTGACAGACCAGCACCACTTTTAAGAGAATTCCCGCTAAGATAACAGATCCAGCCGTGGGTGCTTCTACATAAGCTTCAGGTAACCACAAGAAGCACTCTAATCAACTAAAGCAAAGGCTCTTGCGCCCATAGGATCACGTACACAGACGATTTATTTTTATAATTATTTCTTCAGAGTACGGAATACACACCTATATGACCTTCCCTGGAGAAGGATTCAGTTTGTTCATGAGCGAAGTGAGACCCGTGACATTGTGGAAGTCTATATACACGAGAGCTGAAAGGCTCCCACGACCTTTCCTGGAGAAGGATTCAGTGTTTTTTTTTTTTTTTTTTTTTTTTTTTTTTTAAAGCACACACCCCTGTAGTGCTGGTGGTGCTGAGCGAGCCAGAGAAGGATTCAGTTTGTTCATGAGTGAAGTGAGACCCGTGACATTATGGAAGTCTATATACACGAGAGCTGAAAGGCTCCCACGGGCCAGCTTTTCTCGGGTTTCTTACCAGCTCCTCCTCGGACTGGGTTCTCAAGAGGCTCGACTGGCAGAGCAGAGTTCTTGAAACAAAATGAATTACGTAGTAGTAGTTTGACTTCGAGTACCCAAATGATTTGAGAATCATGCGTTAAAATATGATGACAAGGTATTCCACCAGTTGAGCTGGCGACTTTCACCCCTTGGCGCGCCTCAGAACAGCCAACGTTTTACAGCAGGCCCCAGATGTCAGAGCTATAGCAAAAAGAGTTCCAATGCACAGAACAGCCAAAGAAAAAAACGGAGCCTCTTTCCCTCCTCCGCTCCCCCAAAATCTCTCTCTCTCTCTCTCTCTCTCTCTCCTGTCTCTTATACACATCTAGATGTGTATAAGAGACAGCCACCCACCACCACTTCTGAATCTCAATGGTTGAAATCTTTCTTTTTTCTTTTTTCTTGATGCCAGGGGTTGAATCTTTTGTTCCTTTTTTAAATGCTTCATTGAATAAATATCGCGTATTCTGTTAAAATGGCCAGCTGGCGAGACTGACTCTCCCTCGGCTATTCAAAGCCAAGGCGCGTGAGAAACACCCCTCTCTCTGCATACTCGGAGAGATCCAATGAGAGAGAGAGAGAGAGAGAGAGAGATCTTGTTTCGAGGAAGATGATGAAATGTCACAAAAAGCCGATCATGTGTGCGGCATGCGGATTGATTACTTTAATTAGTAATACTCAATGATGAGGGTGAGAACGAAGAAATAGACTGCTCGTTGTTCACCTATTTAATCAATCCATTCACCATCTTGATGAGTGGAAGAAGGCTCGCCTGAGAGGATTGGTTGCGGCATTGACAAACGTCGTGACTTGATGCGATCATCAGTTCTGCATTTGATTCACCATCACTCCGATGCAATAATCAATTTTTATTATTATTATTATTTTTTTTAATGCCCGCGCCGAGCTGACGAGCTCCTGGTGTTGGCGTCAACACTGCCGGCCAGTCCAAAACATGAAATAGGATAGATGCAATCGGTCTGGCAACATTCCCACCAGAAGAGCAAAAATCGAAATTACAAAAACAAAACAAAAAACAGATAGGATAGCAGCAGAGTGACGGGAGCACCAATTAGTCTCCAGACGCGAAGAGACGACAGCATAGCAGCGCGCACACACACACACACACACACACACAATGATAGAGAAGAGGCGCTCGACGGATGTAGTAATAACACAGTCAATATTCCGTCATCATCTTTTTTTGTTTCCTTTTAACATTTAGAATCATCCAGGGCTGGACTTGGAGTGAGGGCGGCGTGCCTCCATGAAAAGAAGATAGTGCCCCAAAGGTGACACTTGATTCCTCCAGTGAGATTTCTCTCTGTCCTGTCCCTTCCGCTATCTCTTGATTCCTCACTCTTTCCATTCTCTTGCTATTCTCCCCACTCTCCACCCCTCTCTCTCTCTCGCTCCAGGGGTTACATCCGGTCATTAACGACAGTCAAATGCCCTCTCTCTCTCTCTCTCTCTCTCTCTCTCTCTCTCTCTCTCTCTCTCTCTCTCTCTCTCTCTCTCTCTCTC